CAACATTTAAACCAAGGATTCAGACTAAAGAAAGAGTAACAAGTATTGTTAAACATGACTCATGTGTTACTCTGAAAAAGAAACGGAGATGTGTCCTTCACGATTGTCAACTGTGAATCATATGCAACAATGTCTGCACATTTGTCTGGTAGAGGAAGGAGGGCTTGATAACTTGTGGGAAAAGCAGAGATAAACCTCCTACACACTATCTGCCCTGTGAGGAAGCCTGGAGCAAGAAAAAAAATCCTCTGTCTGCTTAGCAACATGAAAATAAAGTCATGTGAAATCATCGCAGTGGCTGCTTGACCTGCAGCTTTTATCTCGACGGGAGGGGGGCTGGGAGAACTGAATGCTATTTACCTGGCCCTGCCAAGTTGTCTTACATGAGCAAACAAGTCACCACCTGCAGTATAGTATAGCATGTCCTTAATGTTATGCTTTCCGGTTAAGCTTGAAAAAGACAAGATTTTTGCTAGCTATGTGGTGTCAATTATGTGTTAACTAATGAGCAAGACAAAACACTGAAAACTGGAGTGGCCCCATCAGTTTTCCAGTTATAACAACACTGCAAAAAGAGCGTCAAAATGAGATGAGAACAGCTGTTTGATTCAGAAGTAATTTAGTAAAAATCTACAGGTATGCAAACATCACTTATTAGTTGAGGGTGCTCTTGGATCTTTCTGCATCACTCACAAATACATAGCTCCTGCTCCTGTATCTTAGCTACAGTTATTTAGGAAATATATCACAGTAGATATTTACCACCCCCTACAAATGTTTACCTTCTGCTCCATAGACTTCGATGGAAACGCGCCGATCAGCACGTTTTTGCAGCGGAGACTGCTTTTCATTGGACAACGGTTAAACGAGCTGAAACCGCGCCTAAAACGCTATTGCTTATGAACAGAAAATGCCTGTAAAATGCACTGAAACGCGGATAAATAAAATGTGCATTTACTCGCTAAAAAAAGTGCGTAAAGCACTCTGAACCGCTGCGCCGTCCTGGTGCAAACGGGAAAATAGCAAAATGTTTTCCTGGCACACTCACAAGCTAGCATGTAAAAAAACTTGTCTCACACTAAGGTTAAAAACAGAGGTTTGGATACACGTCTTCTGCAGAAAATGTGAAAGCCGCACAGCCGCGCCAAGCCCCGCCAGCCTGGTGCAAAGGGGGTCTCAAAGTAGTACGTTAGGCCCTCTTTCACACGGGTGCTGTCTGTTCCAATCAGCAGAGGATCAGTGCATGGATCCTCTGCTGAACAGAACAGAAGAGAACAGATGTCTCTCGTGACATCCCTTTCTATTCAGTTTTTTCCACCATCTTGCGATGGAGGACAAAAATTAAGTGGCATGGACCCATCTAGGTCTATGGAGAGTCACATGTAAGCGGACATGTGTCAGTTTACATTGGACTACCCCTGGATGGAGGCAGGGGTAATCGGGTGTAAAGGACGCACATCCGTTTAGATATGGCTGCCCATAGACCAACTTTGGGCTTCCGATCAGATCCACCTGAAAGACTGACAGGTAGATCTGAATGGACGTACATCAGTTTAGATATGGCTGCCCATAGACTAAAGCTGGCCATACACCTTGAAATTATCTGCAGATTTTCTGTGGTCAGATGGAAAAGGTGCAACAGATTCCTCCATCTACACTAAACTGTGTGGATGGAGTAATCTCCACCTGGGCCAATCTGTTGCACTTTTTCCATCTGACCACAGAAAATCTGCAGATAATTGTAAGGTGTATGGGCACCTTCAGATTGGGCTTTCAATCAGATCCACTTAAAAGGCTGACAGGCAGATCTGAATGGACCGCTTGTCTGAAAGGGGCCAAAGGCTTGTTTTTTTGTATTCTTAAATACATCAGTATATACAAATGACATAAAACTTCATAAATTATTGCTCAAAAAAACTACAGCCTCTCGGCCCCTTGCACCACTTGACCAAACCTCCTGTCTCACCTACTGTACAATTCTTGAGACTACATGTCCTATATGCAGAGGCGAGTGAGTCTATTACTCTCAGATTGCCTGTGCCAGTACTCCTGGGAATGCACACAGAAGCATGGCTCCAGTGGGGCTCCAGTGGGGCTCCATCGGGCGCTGCAAGCCAAGGAGTCACTCTTCCAATGGAAATACAGACCAGCAAAATGGGGATAGCGAGCAAAGGAGGGCCAGATATAAATACAATGCAGAAGATGTTGACAACTATGCAAGTCCTACCCCCAGCATGTAGTATAGGCAAAACAAATTAGGTTAAATGTCGCTTTTAGGCATAAGAACAATTTAATAAAAGAAGGCCAAAAGTCCACTACAAAATGCTGTTTTTTTATGTACATGCGCTGTTCTTCTACATGAGTAGATGTGCTGTTATAATCTTGATATTGTAGCTCATGTACCATACATGTAAATGTGTGCTCATTATGTATACACATGCAAATGATCATCTAAATTCACTAGTTGCACCATGCAGAACCTGTTTGTATGCCTTTGTGCAGGAAGGGGGCGAGATAAACAGTCAATGCACATAAATGGTTTCACTTTTGGCCGAGATGAAAAGCCAGAGAAACACTGCGGATTCACATACTACTGTCCATTCTGGACCTACCACAGTATAAACTTGTAAATGGCAAAAACAAGAAACAGCCTGCTCCGGTTCTCGGTCAGATTTTACGAGATCTATTGGTCTTCTAAGAATGCACCTGGCCTAAAGCTGGCCATACATGGATCCAGTTTCACCCATTTCCTGATGAATTATCCGAAATTTAATCTGTGGGTGGCCATGCCAGCGCCAGTCAGCTTAAAAAAAAAGTTGTTTTTTCAATCAACATTTGTCAAAGGAGCCAGGTGGAACACTGTCGGCCAAACAATGGCTGCGGCCAATCAGCTTCAGTTACTGTTCAAGTATTCGGACAGCCATGGGCAGCAACTGCCAGCTTAACTTCATCCGTCTATTATGCCCATACAGTCCTAAAGTCATCTGCATGCAGTGGACTCAGATGTCTGAGCAGGGGAGGGGGGTGGAGTGACCCCTAGGGAAACTCCTGCTTAGGGGCGAATTCACGCTGCATTGATGAACCAAAGGAGACCTGAATTCATACTATTAGCAGTACCTCCTTGTTACAATGTTCTAGCGCTTTAATCCTGGAATGTTATGACTATATGGTGATGAGCACAGATGGTGAGCTATGTTGGGGAAAGTCCCCACACCGCCTGTACCCTAGCGGGTTCTCCCTCAGGGATAATCGCGCAGGGATTTTATTTTCTATTTTGGATTAAGGTTATGATTATTTTGTGTGTTGTTTTTTAGGTGTATGTCTACGCCTGGTTCCCGTCTTGTTGGGAACAAGTGGCATGCATTGTCATGTTTAAAACTGTGAAATACAATAAAACTATTTTGCAAAAAAAAAAAAAAGTAATCTGCATGCAGAGATGGAAACCCACACCACCTAAATAATGACCACCTGCAGCCACTTCCCATACCTGCATCTCTCTGACTAAAGCTGGCTACACACGGAGCAAATTATGACCGGTTCCTGATGAACCCCTCCATTCGACAAAAGTCCATTTTCAATTCACTTTTGATGAAGGAGTCGGTCTGAAAATTCTGGTATGAACAGTACCTGCTTCCAATCAGATGCAGACACTGTCCAGGTATTAGGGTATGGTCTGTTGCAGCAGCTGCTGAATACAATAGTTGGCAGTGGGGATTAGTAAAAAGCATGGGTGGGGGAATGGATAGATTTCTCTCGTTCAAAGAGTGTATGGCCAGCATAACAGTCAGTGCAGACTGAATGAGGTCATTATAAACCCATTTAGAATGTATATTGACAAGACCCAGGGTAACAAATTACTACCACTGAACCATCTTCTCTACAGAAAACCTGTAATAAGAGTGCCAATGCTGACGTCCTCCGGAAAATGCTAGATCCCTGGTTGTTGCTGGCTTCCGTATAAGACACTGGATCCAGAACAAGCATGCAGATCAGGAAAAAGTCAGAACTGCATGTGTTTCTGGGTGAGTGACTCAAAGTATTGAAGCCAGAGGATCAGCATGACAGCTAAGTAAGGGATAAGTTCAGCAATGGCAGCCTTCGTTCTTAGTACAGGTTTCTTTTGAAAAGGTGTCCATATAGTATATGCATAACAATTGACAAACATAAACAGACACAACTCTATCCATCCAGGTGTGTTAACTGTGTTAGGCTTAAAAGTGTAGCCGACTTCCTTGTTGCAATCGAAACTTCTGTATTATGATGCCCTACCCTTGTGGTGATGGTATTCCCCAGTAGTGTCACTGTTGCAGCCTCCACAAGTGCATGCAGATCAATATATTGTTTCTTATTGATAGCAAAGAGAATGTATAGAGCAGGGGTAGGCAAATGCCAGCCCTCCAGCTGTGGTGAAGTCTTGCAATGCCTAATAGGATTTGTAGTTCCACAGCAGCAGGAGGGCCGCACTTTGCCTACCCCTGGTATAGAGTATATTCCGTGAGCTCATAGTTATCATGACATCTTTTTATGTAACTTTTTTACATGCTCCATGAACTACGTGATTAAATATAGAGATTTGTAGGTTAGCCACTACAAGGAACTCTTCATTGCACTGCAGTCACTCAGACTCCCTGCCTTTTGAGACATCAGCCACATAGGGAGTGCATTGTTTTCAGTGGGTTGGGTGACCCATTAGGTTTGCACTGCGAGAAGGAGCAATAAAACCCAACCACTGTGTTGTGCTGCAAAGCTGGAAGATCCTGCGTGTGTACCATGCAAACCTCTCTGCCCCTTTCTACATATACAATTACAACTTATACATAGATACAAGATTTTTAAAACACGAAAACAAATTTTTATACGATTATACGCATTAAGTTAACCGGTTTTACACATATATCTCATATACATGTAAAGAAAATGGAAAGGATTATGCATTCCCTTTAAATATTTAAAATTTCATATAGAAATTTGGTACAAAGTGATGTGTAATGTTGTCTCACCCGTAGCTATCTCCGGTGTGTTCACTGTAGCTTTGTTGGGTGCTGTACATCTTCTGCATCCCTCCTCCTCCTCCAACACTCATCTTGTGGTTGTTCATCCCATCGTACCTGGTAGTAAGATCCTGGCCGGATTCTGCTCTGGTCAGCCGGCCTAGGGTGTTGATCCGAGTGTGGGACCCGTTCATACTCATTTTGTTCTGAGAACAACTAGCAAAGCATTTGCCCTAAGAAAAGAAGGAGTTGTGTACACGTCCGTAGTTAGACAGGTAGGCTTGCCCGAACCAAGGCCAGAATTCCCAGGTATGTAGAGAAGTTTGAACCAGAAGAGCGTAAAGCTACTGTATGTGCAGGGTGGGGAAAAAAACAAGCAGAGAGCTTTGTGGTGTTTGCTGTGCAGCTCTTTGCCTCTGTGATCAGGGAGAGTCTGAAGCCAGAGACTGGGGGAGGAGTAGGAGGTGGCAGGTCTTATCCAGGACTCTCTTGTGAAAAGCCAGAGGCACACCTTTCTTTCTCTCTCTCTCTGGCTCTTTTTTTTCCAGAAGTATTGTAATTGCAGGTGACGCCCTAAATATCTGTTCTCCCTGCCCTGCCTCCAGTATGACAGCTCCATTCACCTGAGCACAGCAAATTCTGCACAATGCAGGTACAGCGGCCTCAAGCACACACTCAGACTTGTTTTTTAAGGATTCCAAAGAGTTTCACTTGACTTATGGCAATCTGCAGTATTTTGCTTTTTCATATTTAATTGCTCTTTGCCTCAAAAAATATAGCTATGTGCAAATTGCAGTTACACATTAAACCAATTAGTCACGGTTGGTTACATTATTTCTTTGCATATCTTTATTAATCATTCCTTAAGGTCCATTCATAAGGTCCACAATATAGTGAGCTTCAATGCACATGTTTTTCCAGACATTCATTTGAAATAGGCAGTGGACGCATCTCAGTGCACAAAAAAATAAAAAAATAATAGGTCCTACATTATTTTTTTTAAAGGCAACAGTTTTGCGTATGTGGATTGTGGTACACTGCAGTGCGCTGTGTATGTTTGTTCGGGGTGCAATTAGCAATGAATAGCAACGCATTGCAGCACACATACTGTATATACCCTGGAATTCAGAAAGAGTAGAGCAGACACTTTTTAGAAGAGTGTCTTGCCACTGTATGACAAAGGTTGGTGAGTGTGACAGATTCATCTACATGTCAGAAACATGTACATGAGTTTGTTGCAAAGATGTGCCAGAATTTTCACAAATGACTCCGGGGTAAAGATGTACCAGAAGAGGCACAAATGACTCCTGGGGTAAAGATGTACCAGAAGCGACACAAATGACTCCTGGGGTAAAGATGTACCAGAATTTTCACAAATGACTCCTGGGGTAAAGATGTACCAGAAGCGGCACAAATGACTCCTGGGATAAAGATGTACAAGAAGCGGCACAAATGACTCCTGGGGTAAAGATGTACCAGAAGCGGCACAAATGACTCCTGGGGTAAAGATGTACCAGAAGCAGCACAAATGACTCCTGGGATAAAGATGTACAAGAAGCGGCACAAATGACTCCTGGGGTAAAGATGTACCAGAAGAGGCACAAATGTCTCCTGGGGTAAAGATGTAACAGAAGAGGCACAAATGACTCCTGGGGTAAAGATGTACCAGAAGAGGCACAAATGACTCCTGGGGTAAAGATGTACCAGAAGAGGCACAAATGACTCCTGGGGTAAAGATGAACCAGAAGCGGCACAAATGACTCCTGGGGTAAAGATGCATCAGAATCAGCACAAATTATCCCTGGAGTAAAGATGTACCATAATCAGCACAAATTATCCCTGGAGTAAAGATGTACCATAATCAGCACAAGTTGCTCTACGAGTACCACCTCAGGCAGCACTCATGAAGGCATAGTACGGGGCATCACTGAGACCAGAGTGTCCATACTAGACATTCAGTCATCAGTGAATGTTCAGCCCGGTGTATGTTCAGCTCGGGTATCATTGGTTGCTAGGATGCTGGTGGCCGTCTGTGTCATAGCAACCAATGATATTGGTCTTTGCTTTCAGTTTTCTTAACTCCGATATGGTGGTATTTTTTAAAGAATTCATTGCAGATATTACAACAGAGTGTAAAAGTGTTGCAAACAAGCACTGAATATGTTGCACACGTCTGAACTAAAAAAGAAAAGTATCACACGGCTTATATGAAGTTGATGTAAGACTTCCTATTACTGCAGTACAGCCAGAAATCTGTTGCAAACGCTATATACAAATTTCTCAAAAACCGTCCTAAATTCGCACAGTGTATGGGCACACTAAGTCTATGGGTAGCCAAATCTAAATGAATGTGCGTTCATTTACATCCGGTCACCTCTAGCTAAACAGAGTTCCGTCATGGCGGATAGGGGGTAATCTGATGTAAAGTGACGTGTCCATTTACATCCAACTCCCCATACACCAACATGGGTGCAGTAATCTCAGTAATTGGATGGTCATGGATGTCACAACAGATCCCCTGCTGATTGGAACGAAAGGTGCCCATGTGAAAAGGGCCTTCTCTTAAATTAGAAATACAGGTGGTTAAAGGGTTAGTTGGTTATATTTACAGCTCATATATACTTCTGTTTGCTGCAGTTTCTGATCAGAGGCCCTTTTATAGGAATGAATGGTCCTGCAAAATAAACACACTTTACATGTGTTTTAATAAGTAATGGTGCACACAAAAAGTATCCTTCCCCTCTGGAAACCTGTGCAGGGAACAGAAAACTTCTAAAATGCTTTCTGGTGTTGATACTTTTCTAAAACACTTGCCTCATAGGTACGTGAGAAATATTAGACAAAAAGTCCTGTTTTCCCAATACTTGTTTGGATCAGCAAGGTTTAATAAAACAGCCAAGCAAACAGTATTTTGCCAGATGCTAATTGTATTTGTAGGAGGAGAAATCAGCAATAGCAGCCTCCGTCTCTCCCCAGGATGTTTTTTCTTTAAAAACCCTCCTTAAAAAAAAAAAAAAAACTGTAAATTGGCCCAGGGTGGTTTTTTAAAGCTCCTAATGTTTTTTGACTTGTCATCTTAAACCTTTGCTGCACTAGGGTAATGCCTAGACCAGCATTTCTTAGCCTTTTTAATATAGAGGTACCCTTAACCTACCAATATTAGGGAACCCTTGCTAATAATTACTATATCTTCAACTCACAGAACATTAGTGTGATGGTCATTGGGAAGGATGCTATCTACATTGGTAGTCATTAAGAAAAATGCTCTCTACATTGGTGGTCAGTGGGAAGAATACCCCTTACATTGATGGTCTTTGGGGAGAATGCTTCTTATGTTGGTGGTCAGTAGAAAGCATGATCTCTACATTATTGTTGTAAGAAAAGTCCTGCACATGCCCAGTCAAATCAGGGTCCCGTCTGCACTTCTGCACATGCTCAGAAGCCCATTCTTAGGGTCAAAAGTAAACGTGCATGGTTCGTAGGAATGTGTGCACGCATGCGCATCGGAGGATGTAAGCGCTTTTCTGCAAAGAGGCGCACAGGAAGTGACATCTGAGGAGCCATATATAAACGAACATGCTACACTCTCCCTTTGCTGATTGATCTTCAGCTATTCCTGTGCTTGTTGTATTCCTGTTGTCTTCAGTATCTGACCCGGCTTGCCTTGACCCTTCTTCTGCCTGCTGCTTGTACCCCGCTTGATCCTCGGCTCCAGACCTCTGCTTGTCCCTGACATCGCTCACGGCTTTTGATTTGGTACCTCATGTCCCGATTGGCTTGACCATGGCTCATGACCCTGACTTGGCTTCTGTCTTCCGCTTCTGTACCACTCTTGCATCTGGTCGGATACAGCCTAGGCACCAGTGCTACCCTGTGCCCTTCTCTCCCCGTCACCACATCCAGGGGAGTTGGGCAAGGGACGCCATCTCCTCCATTCGGTCTCACCTCAGGTACGTGACAATTGGTAATTGAAAATAATGCTCTTTACAATGTTTGTACTACTTCGTTTGGTGTGAAGAATGTTCTTTACATTGGTGGATATTTGAAAGATTCCCCCTTCCCATCATTGGCGTCAGTGGATACTTATCTGACAGGCAGAAATTGCTGATTGACGAAGGAACCCTTCTGGTTTAGAAAAGCTGGCCTAGGCAGTAAACTAGACTAGAAGTTCTCTCCATGGCCAACAGAGTGAGCAGACATAGCATTTCGTGGTAGGCCATTGAAGATTTTCAAACAGGCATGAAAACAAAACTGCAATGTCATTAGCATTATTATTACACCTTAACAGAGAGCTGCAAGTGATTGTCATAGACAGTGAAACTGGAATATTTCAGATTAAAAACACCATTATTTCTTGGTAACTGCTATTTCATATTTTATGCTGACAATAAAACTACCCGTGATCCCAGCCCTTGGGCTGACTCACAGCTTTACAACTATGGGTGTGAGTTACTAAAGGGTGTAGTTTTTTTCTCTCCACCAGACCAGTAAACCAGTGTCTCGCTATAACACAGTGGATTTAACGAAAAATATACAAGGCTTGATTTACTAATGTGCAGAGAAGTGAAGACGAATATCCAATCATGTGAAATTAAAATAAATAAATAAAACAGTGACAGTGGTTGGTTCATTTCACGGTTTACCTAATTGGACAATTGAATCAGTCCCATAATGTTTGCAGCCACTTAATCTGAGCTTGCAAATCCCTTCCTGTGAAAAAATCGGACAACAGTTCATTTCTGCCACAGACACTTGATAGGCAAAGTAGCAGAAATAAGAGTAACACAAATGAAGCTTGCTAATACCCCGCAACACTGAATTTCATTGGAATCCTAGAACAACTTCAGCAGATCACCACTTTGTCACTGAACCTCCCGATTCTATATCCAATTTTATATCCAAAGTGCCTGCCATGATGTATTTGTATAGCCCACACATGAACAAAGAAGTGAGCTTGCAATGAACTGTGAATATTCCATTCACTACTAGCAGCTGTGCCCCTCCCTTTGCGGAGACCAGTGGCTATTCACAAGGTAGCTATGCTGTGTCTGGGAAATAATACATATTAGAAAAAGTTGCTAGCCAGCAGTCAAAACACCAAATCACATTGGTCTAATCCCCTTTCCTCCCTTATTATTGCTCTGCACTGTGAAATAAGTTTACTGAACCAAGACTGCATTGCCCTGCTTGACAAACCTACCTTGTCTTACTCATTATCAGTGTCCAAAGAAAAAGTCCGGCAGTGTCGCTTCTTCATGCAGCCACTCATACAATGTCACACAGCTTCCGCATTGTAAGCCTCTAAATACCTGCTTGCTCAGCCATGTACATTTCTTCTATTCATCTGGTATTTTAACAATTTACGGTTCAACATTTGAACAGCCTTTTACAGTAAACAGTGTCTGTTTGTAACTTAGGCAAAGGCGCTCAGACACCCATGCCACAGATTCACCACAATCAGT